CGACAGCCTTTAACGTCTTTAAAAACAGATTATGAATGATATATTAGTAAGCAGACAACAATTTCTCTTTCAATGTTTTCATCTTTCCCATGATTATATCTAGAAAAATCAAAATGAAGGAACAATTGATCTAATCAAAACAAAATCAAATTCAAAATTAGAACAATAACCAATAACTCATTTAACAATAACCAAATCAATCTTTGTTGTCACTTTTCAGTTTTGTTTGAAGCTGACAAGCTGTTAAGCATAACCAAATCAATAACCAAATCTATAAGTTCATAACTTATAAATCAAATTGGCAAATCGCCAAATCGCAAATGACAGCCAAATTAAAAGGAAACTCAGTAAGACAGTAGTAACGCATAAATAGGCAACAGATTGACAGAAAACAGCAGCAGCAGTGCAATACGCCAACACCAACAATCAACAATCTTACAATCAGAAAAGAAAGAACAGCTGAACAGGATTTGGGTCTCCGGATTACATACCTGATTTCTGTGAAGTGTGAATGGGGACTTGGGCACTTGGCGATGGCGATTGGCGAGAGTGAGACCAGGCGACTGACTTGGCGAGACAGCGACAAACGAACAGCATGCAAGATAGGCAGCGAATTGGGAAAATGGGGATGAATCGATTTTGATTTCTTGATACCGCTTGGTCGCTTGGAGAATTGGGAGTATTGGACTATTCTGATTAGGAATCGGGAGGGGCCAAAGCCCAAGTTTGAAGATAGCAGGCTTATAACTATTTTATTTTGAACTACAATTCCTACTTCTAGCCCAATAATACTACTCCCCTGGAATCTATGAGGGCTAGTGTAAACATTATGGTCATATATCATTAAGATTCTATGGACTTAGAATGTGTGATTCCGCCTCATTCCCTGTTCCTTGTTTGGTTGTGGGCTTAAGGCGGGGTCACCCATCCAAAATGCCCTTGCAATCTTAATGATATACGACTAGTTTACGTCAATCGACTATAAAAGAACTTGTAGGACTTATAATGCAAATTTCGTCAAAATTTGTTGAAACATTCGTAATGATGGAACTCGCTAACTACGTTATAAAATATTCATAGTGGTAATACCAAGGATAAAACAGGGAGTATAAAAGCACACATAGAATACTCTATCATCCCAAAACAATAAACTCCTTTTAAATTGACTCAGTTCAAGTTACAATAAGAAATTTCCAAGGTCGTCATGTGACATCAGGAGGGTTGTTCCTCACCATAATCAATTTCTTGTACTACGAAAAGTTTTCTACATCTTTTTCCAAACTCTTGAAGTCCCAATCAAAATGCAAATTTCGGGACGAAATTCCCTCTAACGGGGGATGATGTGACAACCATCAAATTTCGGTCAAGTCAAAGTCAAACAAAGTCAACTAGTCAAACCGGTCAACTCCATTAACCCTTGTATGACAGGGTTTACGTTATGTAATCACTGTACAATTCGCTATTTTAATGAGAAAACATCATTTGGAAAGTTCATGTGTTTGATTTTCCTTAGCCTTAACAGTGCTAAACAATGAACCAAAGCGATAAAACACTATTGCACAATCATCGGGATTGTGTAGGACACTAAATCATGGCTTAACGGGTTCTATGGACCTTGCGTTGCGAAGCCGGACACTCAAAAAGATCACAAACGAAACCTCTCTCAATCTCATTCAAACCCTACTCAAGATTACTTGACGCTAATAGGATCAAAACCCATACACTACGATATAAATTGACGTTAATAGCAACATAGTATAGTACAACGTTATAACTATAATCAAATTAAATTATGATACCATATTAAAATCAAATCAAAGTATAATGCTCTAATTAAATTTAAAAGAATCAAACTTGAATGCTATAATTAAACTTCAAATCAAAGTAGATTGTTATAATCAAATAATAACTCATCTTTTATAAAACTCCATTTTTATAAACTTTACATTAAATTTTATAAAACTCTATTTTTATAAACTTTACATTAAATTTTATAAAACTCTTATATTAATTATGTAAAAGATGCTTGTGTTAGTGGGAAATTATGAAGACCACCAAAAGCAAAAAGATTATTCCCATGGTCTCCCACTCACACCTCCCATCCACTTTCCTTTCCTTTTTCTCCCAACACATTATTCTCTTCACCACTTAAACCTTCTCTATTCTTTCTCTCACTCTCAATCTCGAAATTCATCCAAGAAATACTCATATTCCAGCCAAGAACAATGTATTATACTCAAATCTCCATCCCTCTTGAAGCATTCATCAAGGTATGTTGTTAAAAGTTTCATATTCATACAAGAAACAAATTAAATCCACCAAAATATCTAAAACTCGTTTTATACATAAACCTGATTTTTCTCAGAATCCCATCAATAAAATAAGAAGTTCTGGAAATTTTCAGAAAATAACTTATTTTTATTGAATTACTATAATTATTGCAATAAAGTAGGGCAATAATTCACATAAAATACTTTTTGCATTCAATAAATTATGAGAAAATTCTGGGATGACCAATATATTGATTAAACATAATTTATGAAGTTTCATGCATTTATATTACTGTTTACTATTATTTATGATTTTATTGATTAATTAATAATGAAATATATAAAAAATACTTCACATAGTCACAAATATCCGACACTTATACACTGGGCTCTATATCATGTTATAAAACTATGGTTAATTTTACAGAATTTTGGGAATCATTTATTATTTTTCCCGAATTTTGTTGTTGTTTAATCATTAAAGTATTAAATAAATACTAAAACAGTTCAGAAAAATATAAAATTTTTACAGTAATTAATATTGTATGGAATAATGATTTCCTAATAATTTCATAATTTTTCAATACTGTGTACTATTTAAAACCATTTTCCTAAGTATTTAAGCATGTAAAAATGCATTTTAATGATTATTTCATATAAATAATTGTTAAAATCTGTAAATAATTATAATTGGGCAAGTTATTATTTTAATAAGAAATTATTAAAATCTGACCTAAATTGAAAATATAAATTAATTATGCAAAGTAATTAATTCAATTTAAATTTCATTTAACAAATGAATACCTTAATATTATAATCAAAATGAATTATTGTTAATTCATCTAATATAAGAATATGTGTCTAATTATTTGTATTAGTACTCTATTCTCGTTTAGCAGTTCCTAAACCAAAACTATTAATTATATTAGGTTCTACGCCATTTTGACCCGAACCGTCTATCGTACGACACACGCATTTCGTTTTGGGACTAAGGTGAGTAATCTACCCCATACTTTATAATTTTCAATACTTTTGGGGTGTATCATGTGGTTCTAATATATTCAAACTTCATTTTATTGTTTTAACACAATTGAGACATTGTTGGGACATTTATACGTGAGTCATTAATTGTATAACTATTGTTTGTTTACGCTACATGTACTTGTAGTGCATTATCATTTTTAGTCTAATCTCCATGACTATGCCCGTATTCTTGAGGTACGTTATGGACAATAATAGCGCTATTGGGTTGACCACCCCGCCTTGGGACGCTAAGGTGATTGATCGCACGTGGTTGAGTGTGTATGATGATTAGATGCTCCATCCTATATATATTTATATATATATATATATATATATATATATATATACATATGTATATATAGGGTGAGGACTTATTGTTGTTGTTATCATTTGTTAATCAATTTTTGATTTATAAACCGTTATCTCAAATACAATTGTTTGCCGACTTCAAAAGAAAACAAATTTCCAATTATAAAGGTTTCAACTTCACAATTTTCTCTACTAAAATTAGATTACTCACCAACTCTCGTAGTTGACCTGTTTTTACCCATGATGCAGATTTGAAGAATGAAGTTGATGAAAAATAGGTTGTGCCTTAGAAATCCACAAGACTATTTAAATTTGATGTAATAAATGTTGTTCGTATTTGGATTTGTATTTGTATTTTGTGGATCTTGTTTGCATACTTAGTACTTAATTGAATCTAATCATATTATAACATAGTTGTCATGAGACTTTGAACAATATATCACGCCTCGATCGATTCCGACAAGGATCGGGGTGTGACACTAGGAGTGTTACCACTCCCTACCAAATGTTAAGATTAGGTGCTAAATAGAGAAAAATGAGGTAACACTCAAAAAACCGATGTGACAAGGTGGTAGGAGTGTTACCACTCCCATTAGCCTAAGGCTAAGGGGAGTGGTAACACTCTTAGCACCTTGCCATGTTAGTTTTTTGAGTGTCACCTTATTTTTCTCCATTTAGCACATAATCTTAACATTTGGTAGGGAGTAAAATATACAAAAATTTCCTGTAAAACCGAAAAAGTGGAAGCATAAAGAGGCAGATCGAGATCTATAGTGCCATCATTGACCTATATTAATTACAACTCGTAACTTCAACCAATGAGCCAAGATTTGTGGTAAATCCTTTAAAACCACGAAAAAATCAATGTAACAAAAGATAAAGAGAGGAACTTGAAAACTTAAGGATCTTAGTGGGACTACCTGGATGAAGAGCTTCATTGTCAAAAAATCAAAATGACTCCTGGAGGTGATTCAAGTGGGGTTGTTCCAGTGGGTGATTCACATATTAAAATAGTCATGATTCACATATTAAAAAGAATAAATTGGAGCAAAGTAGTGGTGATAAGTATTACCACAACCGTGGTGTCATGTAACACTGGACTGATCGTGCATTCACTTTTGTCCTGTGTCAACAAAAGCATAGCGTGTATAAACCATGAATCAGTTCAAATTCAAGCTATAGAGAGAACATTACATCATAAAATTGAATGAATAGCAAAAGTAGGATGAGATTAAGAAGAGGATGAACCAACGCACCGAGTCTGAGTCTAGGAGGGAAAAACTACGAAAAATCATAACAAAAGATCCTTACATGTTGATTGTAACTTCATCATGCGAAAGTCGGGTGAAGAGAGAGAAATCGAGGGTTTCAGAGATGGAGAATACAAAACTCAAATAGATGTTCCCGGTTCCTCATGTTTTGAATGGAAATTCAAAGACTGGTGCAACTGATTGCTCCATGACCAATCGAGTAATCGATGTTGCTGATGAAATTATATTAACATCGTTGATTTATATAAGCATTAGGGTTAATTGTAGCAGTTGGCATTCGTGGTGGAGAAGAATCATGGGATGGTTGGCGCTCAATGTAATCAACTGCTATGAGGTTAGAAGTTTGGCATCGATCTTGATGGAGGTTGAAGAACGTGGGAAGGGATCGATGTTGACGGAGGTTAAAGACTTAGTGGGAGATCGTGGGAGACTCCGGAGGTGGAATAGAGAACCATCAAAATAACCGTAAATAGGGAATTATAAGGGTCCAGATTAAAAGTTGAAAATATCGGACGGCTACGATTATGAAAACGGTTTTTCACTCGTCGCCGTTGTTAGTAATAATAAAAATAATAATAATTACATCAATCTAGAGGGTGTTTGAGATTGCTTTTAAAACAACTTTTGACTTTTAACTTTTCCAAAAAGTTAAAAAAGATACAAAAGATGTGTGGATATTGAAAATGATCTTTTAAAATGACTTTTTGTATAGAAGGAAAATAAAGTGTTTCAAAAGTCACAAAATCCTATCTTTTTGTGACTTTTTAACTTGAAAAGTTAACTTTTACCCTAAAAGCAAATACAAACACTTTTTTAAAGATTTTCTTTTGGAAAATATCACACAAAAAGGACTTTTAACCTTAAAAAGTTTTCCAAACACCCCTAATCTTTTTTTTTTTTGTTTTTATTTTTTATTTTATTATTATTATTTTTTTTTAAGGGTGGGCTTTTACGTACACATAAATTACTTCCGGACCTGAAAGTAAATATTTGAATCTTCCCCAAATTCTCCCATTCTCACAAACACACAAACCCTTTCTTTCTGTTACTCTCTCAGCAGCATCACACTGCAGAATTTAATCCCTCCATCGTTTCAGGTAAGTATATTCCGCTTAATTAATAGTGACTGGTATCGTAGAATTCAAGATTTGGAATTGGGAATTTGTTTGGTTCTGTATATGAAATGAATTCTCTGATCCCATTTTTGGGAATCGAAATTCCGGAACGTCACCTCGTTCCGCTGGTATTTTAACGTATTGAAACATGAAATCGACCTATGCGGAGGCTAAAATTTTCTCTTCTTTCAATCAATTTTACAGGTAAACAAAACTGGTATACCTGTTGAAGCAAAGTGCCAATGGAGTGCGTGGTTCAAGGAATCATAGAAACACAGGTTATTATTGTTTATGCAAATAACACCTGATTATACATTCTTCTCTTGAACTACAATAACGATCGAAGTTCTTTATCCAATTACCCTCATATATTTAACCATAACCGTGCTTATTAAGCAGTACCACATTGGCGTAATATGAGCCTTTGATATTCCTTACCTGAATCCACAATTGAGGTGGAATGCCAAGTTGGCATACAATGAATTTGGAGTTCAATGCTCACTGAACTGTTGAATGGGAAAATGATTAAATAGAATTATAGAAACGATTCTTCTTGATTTCATTTCCTTCAATATACATGTTCTCTTGACACTTTTTATTGTAAAGAATTCAACTTTTCTATGTTAGAGGTATATTTTCCTAAACATAAAGTAATTCAGTAACTTCATTGTTCCAAGGAACAACACTGTCAAGAGTAACGAGAGGTGTATAACTGTATATCTATCAATATATCTGTAACTGTGACTATTCTTTGTGATAATGAATATTTTACAAACAAGCTCTTGAAAAGAAAAAAAAAAAGTTAATATTTTCACACATGGTTTTTTTTTTTGCAGCATGTTGAAGCCCTTGAGATTCTTCTTCAAGGCCTCTGTGGTGTTCACAGGGAACGCTTAAGGATTCATGAATTATGCCTTAAAAGTGGCCCCAACCTAGGTCAGTTCCACTATTTCTTTGTATGTAACAAAAAAAGACCCTTTTTTTTTTACTTTCTTTAAATCTTGACCTCATAAGTATATGCCCAAGATTACATATTATTCCACTTCTCATTTCAATGTTCATAATCAATCAATCATATAGGTTCTGAAGCATCAGAGGTTCGACTTTTATGTGATCTTGAGCAGCCTGAGCCCACTTGGTAATAAAAAAAAACTTAAAAAATTTCCTGTTTTTATAATTTTTTTCATAGTTACAAAAATGGGATTTTATTTATTTATAATAGGACTGTTAGACATGTGGGGGGTTCAATGAGGGGTGCAGGTGCTGATCAAATATCAGTTCTTGTGAGGACAATGGTGGAAAGCAAAGTGAGCAAAAATGTGCTTCGATTGTTTTACTTATTGGGGTATAAATTAGATCATGAGCTGTTGAGAGTAGGATTTGCTTTCCATTTTCAAAGGGGTGCTCAAATAGCTGTTACAGTTTCATCTGTTAATAAGATGCTAAAATTACATGCCACTGATGAGGCTGTTCCTGTGACACCTGGCATTCAACTAGTGGAAGTCACCGCACCTGCTTCAGCTGAAAATTACAGTGAAGTTGCAGCTTCAGTCTCATCATTTTGTGAATATCTTGCTCCGTAAGTTTTTCTTTCTTAATGAAGGCAAATTCGTAAAATGGTAGGACTTAGTGGGAAAAGCCTCATTTCCCTGATTTACTTTGCATTAAGTCAAAAAGAAATTCCCATAGTTGGAATCTTGAAAACTATGAAAGATGTGAGATGATTGGTTTGGTTTTAGTGTTTTTATTGTTTTATATATATATGTTAAAAAGACTAAATTTATTTATTGGGTGATGATTTTATTATATATATATTTTTTTCAGGTTGCTGCATTTGTCAAAACCTGGTGTTTCAACAGGAGTTGTTCCAACAGCTGCAGCAGCAGCTGCATCTCTCATGTCATATGGTGGAACTACAATTATGTAGGCAAAGTAAGAGAAAACAAAAGATGTGTCTTTTAAGGCCTAATTCTTGATGATTTTATATGTAATGTTATATTTTAATAGAAGGTTAAAGGCAGCTTGTATTTCCCTTTACTTTGCTAATTCATGTCGAAATCCAGGAATACTTTTTTTATAGACAAAACGTCTTTTGTGTTGATCGGAGTTATAGTCTATTAGTAACAGATCAAAAAGGATAAATCTAAAAAAAGGAACGGATTAAAACTTATGTGGCACCAAATTTTTGTAGGCAAAAATATCACAACACTGTTCAGCCTGAGAATCCACTAATAGAAAATATAGATCAAAACAGGAAGGTAATCAAGATAAGTAGAATGCTATAATAAATAAATAAAGTACATTGTCATTGTTTGCACTAAACATACATGCAGTAAAATCAAGAGGTAAAACATCACACACACACACAAGGAAAAGGAAGATATAGTGAGAAGATATACCATTTTCACCACACATACATGTGCACAAGCACAAGGTTTATATATACATATTTGGGTATGCGAGTTAATTCAATACAGTGTTCACAATCAATTAGAGAGCCACGTTTAGGATGGTCTTGATGATTCCATGTAAAGTTATAAAAACTAACTTCTTATGGCTTGAAAAGACAAACATCATAACACAATGAATAAGTAAAATAAATTTTATACCAAAGTGAAAGACAATTTAGGGCTTGAAAACACAAACTCGGGAACAAAAAATTTGGTACACTTGTGTTAAAGGTTAGGAAGCAAGTGACAGGTATGTCATAAAGTAGCTAACCAGGGGCAGTTTGGTTATTTTCTTAGTTAGGTCGGTATAGGGCTATTATAAATAGAGGGTAAGTAGTTAGAGTGAGTATCGATCATTTTGTCTAGTGAGTATTCACAAGTAGGGATGAGAATTTGTCCCGGAAACCTGAACCGAACCGAACCGAACCGAATTAGGCCTAAATAAGCACTTCGATTCGGTTCTCGGGTATCTATATTAGGCTTATTCGGTCCGGATTACCCAAATAAGGGCTTATTTGGTTCTAAATACCCGACCCGAAATTGAAAAATCATTTTTTTAATCGTATTTTTCTTTCTACACCGAATGACCTACATTCAGTCGATTTGATCGTGTTTTTCCTTGTCCCCTTTTTGTGATCGATTCGTACATTCAAAATAGAAAAAAAAATATATTTAATCGTATACCGAAGTCGACTTCCTACTCAAGCATTCCTATTCAGAAATTGAGTGTCGATCCTTCCTCTTTATATTCAGAAATCGACCATTCCTTCTTTGTTTCTAAGGATTCACGAATTCATATCTTGTCTAGTCATGGGAAATTGGGTTCCAAGTAAAAAAAAACTCAAGTAGGAAATTAAGCTTCATTATGTTAATCAGCTATGTAAATGCTATTCTTTCAATGCTATATTGTGTTATGTTAGTCATTGAATGTGTTATGTTGATGTATAGAAGTACATGACTATTCTATTATATCAAATTCTAACTTTTTTTGTACCTTTAAAACAATTATGTATATTTTGTATTATTTTTAATTAACAAATTTGTTTCTTTAAAATATTTGTTATGGAATCATAAGTTACAAAAGTCATAAAAAAAGACAATGTTTTATAATCATATTGTAAATGTTATTCGCTTTATAGAATCCTGGATACTTATAGAAACACACCACAAATAAGGACCACAATTGCAAGACAAACTCATAATGCCTCCTTCCAATTCATCAATTTGTGTTGTTGGTGACGTAGTCTCCATGATCGTGACTGAAATGCTCTTCACAAATCGAAACTAGAGTCGCCGATTTCAAAAAATAAAATTGCCTTCGGTTCTTGATTTCTGGTTTTTGCAAGTAGAAATTGACTTCGTTATGGATCACAACATGTTCTGATACCAATTTGATATAGACTAGGGTTTAATGGCAAAATTGTGAAGTCTTAATGTTTGAATTGAGACTCAAATCAAAATAATTACAATGGATCTTGACATTCGAGAGGTCAAGGACTCTCCCGCTTGCAGATACTAACTAGCTTACACAAAATGATAGGTACGGATACAAACCCATTAAGTAACCGTTTCACCACTTTGCACTGAATAGTTCTAGTTGAAGACTTAGTCCACTTTTTCATGCATGCATTTTTCCTTAGTAGCTTGTTTGCATTATTTTCCTTTAAATTGTAATTGTTGCTTGAGAAATAGAAGGCAGAAAAAATGTTCTAAATAGTCTTGTTTTCTTCTTAATTTCTTGGAGATTTGTCATCTCAAATTTGGCTCTATCTGGTACCCACTTCAACTACCGACCCTCTATTTATGATAGCCCTACACTGACCTAACTAAGAAAATGACCAAACTATCATGTGAGGACAGAAAGTAACAGGTGAGAACAGAAAGCAACAAGTGTCGTCCATTATGTTCTTCAAATTAGCACCAAGCGACAAGTACAAAGGATGCAGATGTGCATGATATATGAAAATTGAGTTGTTTTATAGATTGGATACATGGTGAGTCTTAAGGCGATGCTAAGCATTACCCAAGAATATAGAAAACCGGAATTTTAGAAAAATAGGTTGCTATTATCTATTGAAGTAGGTTGCTATCATAAGCAAAATTTAGAGTACGACTATTATAATATTTATATCCTCTTATACAAACCAAGAGTTGTTACTAGAGTCCACATATCCCTCAAACCATTATCTTTATCCCCCGTATGTTTAATATTTATATCCCCTCTAGTCAGGCCCGGCCCAATACATGGGTGAGTTGGGCTATGTCCCAGGGGTAGAAAAATAGTGGACATAAATTTAATCCAATAAGTGATAGTGTATATATGAGTTCGGCCCAATATTCAGTCTAATAACTGGTCCAATGTTGATATATCGGCGTCTCGCGTCTCGGAGGCATCATATCGACGAAATATAAGAGTGTGAGCGCCAAATAACTGAAGTCTGAAGCATCTTGAGAAACATAATCGCCAAACCTGTCGACGTCTAGAAAAACGCAAAGATCGAGAAGTCTCTAATCGATAATCGATTGGGTACGTTTTTCATTCTATTTCATTCCTATTTTAATTTCTCTATTTCTCTTTAAAACCTACTGCATAACCAGTGACGATTGGGAGACCCGATTTGTGTTCATTGTCCAGTGTTTGTGGTGGTTATGGTGTGAGTTCGATTGCTTACCCTTCCTTGTGTTCCGAGTTTGATTTTTTTTTTCCTTGAGTAATTTTGAGGTTTTCAATTTCTGAATTGGAGACTTCGACTCATATTCTGATTCCCTTTTTCTCAATCTAATTTTCGATTTGTGTTATTTTCTAAATACGGTGAGTTTGGTTATTGTTTGTTTCAGGAGGTGGATTTTTTCTTGTGGGCTGTTGGAGGACGATTACAGTAGAAAGGCTTGCTGGAGTACGACCAGGCTCGAGTTGTTCTATATTTGAGTTCAAATCTATTGCTTTTAGGTTTGATTTTTATGGGTTGCTTCAGGTAGAACTTCGAAGTTTTTATGGTTAGCTTCATATATACATTTATAGTCTTATAGAGTTCATTTCTAAACTTTTGTGTTCTGTTTCTGTGATTCATGAGGCATTGTTGGGAGAGTTGAGAGGTGGTGTAAGTTCAAAGATTTTCGTGGATAATGGGGCATATAGAAACTTTCTAAGTAGCACATATGATGTAACCCGAGTGCTCCAGTTGTGCTTATTATCTATTAATAAAAAAAATTCATTTATTGCAATCAAGCTATTTCTGATATAGCTGGTGGAGGTTATCATTGATTTTGGCTTCGATATAGCTTTTGGTTTTGCCCTTCGGCAGCTCAAGTTGATGTAGGCTTCTTGTATAATATAAGTTAAATTCTAAATAAATTCATGAAGTAGGATTGTAGCTGTCAAAGTGTATTGCCATTTTAGGTGGTTTGGACAAGTTCATTGGTATATACGGCCCCTCAAGTTCTTGCGTGTTTTGGCTCTACTATTTACAAAGTTAATGTTTTTTGCCCAACCTATTGGGGTTTTGATGTTTTTTCTCACACTTAAACTTCGTTGTAGTTTAATTTGTTTGTTTGTTTGTTTGTTTTTGGTCTTGCATTTGAGCATTTGGAGTTTGATGATGTTTTTTAATTTCACTTTATTGTTTTTTACATAGGCTCACTATAGTACACTGTTTGACTTTTTTATTCCTTTATTTGTTCTTTGTTAGCTCTTCGACACCCGTTTAATTCATGATAGTTTACTTGTTAAAACTTTAACTTTTTGTCATTATAGGCACAACACTTATATAACGAAGAACTTGTTATAATTTTCCTGAATTGTGAAATGTGTTAATGTCACAACATGGCTATAAGTCGGTATAAACATAGGGGCATTGTTTTTTCTGTATCGCCCTGGGCATGGAAAACCAATGGACCGCCCTGCCTCTAGTTATAGACTAACTAAATCATACTCAGTCGTAAAATTATTTTTTTAGACTTGTATTACTCTAAGAACGTTTACAAGAAAGAAGTACAAAAATTGAGGACTCATTTACAAACAAAGGCAACGCCCTATATATACTTGAGTCCCCATGTGATACAAGGACCCAAGTAAATGAATAAACCATCTTAGACTATTACAGGGAAAATTCTACACAACCCTTTAATACTATATGCCATTCCACCACCTTCTTAATACCTCTTGAAAGCTCTTGAATCTTGAGGAAATTTTTAGAAATACATTTATAATTTTCATATGGCTGAAGTAAAAAATAAAGTTAAAGGGACTTTTAATAGTAAAAACAACTTGTGAAAGACTAGCGTGAAGCTCTTAGATCATTGGCTGATTTTTAACAACATTAAGCCTTAAACCACCATGTTTTGTATGTATAATCAAAATCCAATAAGTACAACCAAAAAAAACCCTGAAAATGATGCGTTACAATAAAACTTAACTTACAAACAAGGGAAGGGAAGGGGAAGACACAAATTTACATAGTTGCCAAAAGGTCTCTCATTTCAGTAACAGATGGAATGGTTTCACTCGGGTAAATCTTGGCCACAAGTTGAGCAAAGCTCTCATACTTGTCCAAAAATTCTTTCTGCCAGTGTAATAAATTAATTATATAAGTCAATCATCATATCATTTC